CAGTTATGGCTCCCACGATGAACAAACAAATTCTGCTGTCGTCCGACGCCATGCCCATGAGCGCTCCTAGTGGGAATCGAATGCACCACAATTATTAACACTGATATTCACTGATGTTGTGGCGACCCTTCTGTGAAACTCGCGGTCACCCCAGACAACAACTTTACGCCAAACAAAGACGCCCACTGCTTTTTTTTCGAAATAGTCGCATTTGAAGGCACAGAAGCAGACATTTTGAAACGCGCCCCCTGACTGTAGTCATGGTACATATCAAACGCCGACAAACAGCGGCTGTCGAAGTTGACCTGACCACAGGGAATCCTTAAAAAAAACTGAAAGTTCCGTGCGTCCAGAAGTTTTTCTGCTGAGCGTTATTTGCATGAAATGGGGGCATTTCTTGATAGGTTCTGTCCGATCCCGAGTTTTAGCTCTGAAACGCTTCAACGGGTTTCGATTAAATGTGGCACTGAAGGCTAACACCCACTTTACGCAGATCAAAACAATAATTCAGAGGACAAGAACATTAAACGTAGTTACGTCCGGTCACAGAGGGCCGCTAGGTCTGAGGCGGGGGCAGGACCACGTGCGCTTGAGCACTGAGACCGTGGGTTCGAATCCCACTCTTGGCATGGAAGTCCAAGGAGTGCTACCGAATGTCTAAAACACAGATTACGAGCGAAAAGGGCTTAGATAAGAAAGGCGTCCGTCTTCATATCGGAACACGTGGTCTGTTTACATTCCGCTGATAATACAGAAACGGAAATATTCCCGTATGCGCGTTCTAGACTGAAGTGGTACGCCTGTCTGCACTTGTTCCTGATTAGCCACAGCCTTCTAATCGAGCGCCCTCATTTTAGTATTCGATATCTAAATCCGTTCTCTGACAGCTTTCGTCCGGTATTTATTTGTATCTTCAGGATACACGAACCGCGCGTCATAATTGCATTTATCGTATCAACCTCAACGAATCACGAGCGCATCTGCGAGGCATTCTTTGCAACATGTGACGTCTGAAATGTTTGCAGAACTAAAATACGTGGGTTAAATTTTGGGACAGAAAATAAATATATATTTCGAGATTTTAAATTTGCATTAAAGTCCAGGAGATATGTGGCCCTTGTGACACGCAATTCTTTTAATATTTGTAATACGATCGCATCTGCGAGGCATTCTTTGCAACATGTGACGTCTGAAATGTTTGCAGAACTAAAATACGTGGGTTAAATTTTGGGACAGAAAATAAGTAATAGTACACAGAATGGAAAACTGAACATTACAGCGATGTTGCATCTAATAAATATATATTTTGAGATTTTCAATTTGCATTAAAGTCCAGGAGATATGTAGCCCTTGCCACACGTAATTCATAATTGTTTTAATATTTGTAATATGAGAGTGCGTGAGTCCTCTTCCTTGCATTTCCATGTTAATTCGTTAATTTTATTGTTTAAACTGACAAAGATCAAGTTTAATGTTTCGAAATACGGAGCATAAACTTCAATTTTCATTGGTGGAGCTGAATAACAAATTCAAAATGACGGAGAGAGTATTTATAAGCGAGTTATCTCGATCTTAGCACGAGGATATCTAAGACGCCCCTTCGTGAAGTTTGTCAGCTGCAATATCGACTCGTCACGAGATACTAATCCTGACGCGTTACAAATTTCATTATCGCATTTAAATGCGTTACCAACACTTTACGAAGCAAAGAAACCCTTAAACCTCTTCTCTTTTCCGTCAGTCAAAACCCATACATACAAACGCTTATGTAACACCGGCGGCGGAGATGCAGGGGTTCGTTCTGAGAAATTAATTAAAACTTGAGAGCGACGCTGTTCCAACTACAGACGCTGCACAGTGTCAAACGCGATGAACAGATACTCACGAACGGTTAGTAGGTAAGGGTTGCGAAGGAGACTGTCTGAAGAGACTGGTCGGAACCGACTTCACTGGCGAAACACGTGTGAACAGCATTTAAAGGCCCTGGCCCTACCTCAAAGAGAACGACGCATCTCCGTTAACTATCAAAGACAAATCTAGCGTTAGAAATAGCCGGGATTGACCCAGAACTGAACGAAATCCATGAAGACGCTTCGTGAGGAAAATTCCGAGCGTTAAAACAGGAGGTTTTATGAATTACTTGCAGTAAAGGAAACTCATTAGGGATTCGGTGTGAAAGTTCAATTCTATTTCTTTTTTTCAATTTAACTAGGCGTCATTCTCAACTGCTGCCAGCTTGAAAGCAGCTCAGTATCCGGTAATAACTGTCCCAGTCGAGACAGTCGGCCCACAACCAGCCGAATCTGAGCGGAGAGTCGAACCGCGGAGTTGTTGAGAGACGCCACAAATTAATTACTGTTGGGCAGATCGCGGTCCGGGTTCCAGCGCGTCACCCACCCTCTCCTGCGTATATCTACGAGTAAACAACGGAGATCGAACAAGTTTTAACCATTACCTCTCTCTGACTGCGAATTATTGGTTTTATCGGACGAAAAATCGAGATTGTCTTGTGCAAATAAAGGCGACGACAATGACATCTGTTTGTCCATATGGACGCCTGTCTGTTCCATTACCACTGAAGTCGATGGAAAGTCAAAGCAAAATTGACAGACTTTAATCCTTTCGATGACGCTGCGAGCCAGATTTCTCGCTCTCAAATAATAGTTTCGTCATCTCCGATTATCTCCGTGCTTGACATCATAAAAACGAATACAAAATTAAGCCTTACGTAAAGTAATCATGAGCCGGGATAGCTCAGTCAGTATAGTGACTAGCTACGGGCTGGACGGCCGGGGTTCGATCCCCGACGGGGGCAGAGGATTTTTCCTCTAGCCTCTGGGGTCCACCCAGCCTCCTCTACAATGGGTACCGGGGTCCTTTCCCAGGGGTGAAGTGCGGCTGGGGCGTGATGCTGACCACTCACCCCCATCTAGTGCCGAGGTCAAGAATGAGTAGGAGCTATACCTCCTCTCCCCCTAAGCGTCTACATGGCGTATAGTGGGACAAACTTTACTTTACGTAAAGTAAACTGGTTACGCGTAATCCAACACAAAAATGATGGTTCGTACTAAATTTGCAGATATTCTTTGACGTCTAATCACAATGCAAAACGTCACATTCCGGTCGCGAGCGCTGAAAAATCATTACCTTAAAACTGTTGTAAAAGTTGCATTTCGCACGGACGCCATGTTGTTACTTTACGAAGTGGAATTTCAAGCACTGAATCTCAGGGGGCGACATCTTGGCATCACTGACAGTGGGGCACTACAATTACGAAGATGCGACAACTTAAACATTCTTCACAAAAGCCTGTCAATTGGCTGAGATTACATAATCACTTCCTTACCTGGATATTATTAAAATGCTCTCCAAAGATATAAAATGATATGCGCAACTCCATCTGTCAGGCTTCCTTAAGAATAGAGAATTCCTTTTTCTGCTCAATTGCTGGAGGGGCGAGTCAGTTCCTTGTGAAATAAGTAGACCGAGTTAAGAGCAAATAAGAAAGCGGAATAAGTCTGGGTACTTCGAAGGGATTCAAACTTCCGTCTATTTACATTCGCGGCGAAGGAGGAGACACGGGGCAAGTTTATTTAGCACAAGTGCAAAATTCCTGCCTTGGAACATCTCCGCGTATTTCCGTGGCTGAAGCTCGGTTTCTAACGACGTTGCGGGGACACTCCACTTAAGGCCCACCCCAGTGTTTAAGTTACAACTTTCGAATAAATTTACGTTTGGAAAGCTTTAAATTTTACTCAAAAACCGCATGCACTGACTTCATTTTGTATTCTGGCAGGCTGCTCATTTATTTATTTATTTATTTTAGAATTGTCAGAAATTTATACTTCGCTTGTCTAAAAAAACAGTTACGCCTGCAATCTTGATAACTACACACACACACACAAGAATAAACGAGTGAGCCAACATTACAGCCTTAAAACCGAACTTTAAAAACTCCATCAGACACTGCAAATTATGGAAAAGATAATAATCCTCTCTGCATGCAGTTAAAAATGTCAGCTATTCGCAAAAGAGTAGAGATAAATCAATGAATGTTACGGATGTGGAACCTCTGAAACGTCTGGTAATCTTCTACCAAACTACGTGGAGACAGCAATCTTGAGACATGTTAACCATCAATAAAACAAGTAACAGAGTTACGTGAAAATATAATTCTACATCAGCATTAAAAAATATTTCCAATAACCAACTAAATATTTAAAATAATTAACATATAACATCAAAAACACAAACCAAAATTATACGTACACACACACAAATCAATTCTGCAGACCACATATGTGTTGGGCCTACGGATTTTATATTATGCTACCATCAAACAGATGTTTCTAGCATTGTGCATATGTGAATTATTCAAAATTAACATTTACCTTACTTTTTCAGAAATATATATATATTCCGCTCTGCCTGCAAAGCCGAACACCAAATCCGTTTCCTTCAGTAGACTAATGTCTGGCGTCTTCTGCCATCTTACGACATAAAGATGAACTATGAAGTGCGTAGCCATATTGTTACAACATACATTCTACGTTAACATCGTAAAACATTCAGATCATTGTAAATATATTATTCTTGAATGAAAGGTCATTTTCCTGCATTAATTACATTATTCAATGTAAGTTATACAATCAGTGCGAATAAATAATAGACGATCATTTTAACTGCAAAATTTTCTTCCGAAATTCAACGCCGCTAATACAAAAAAACACGTGTCAGACACGATCCTGACAATTCCATCTACCGCCAATTCTCACAATTAATTTCCACAGAACCCATCATAATTTTCTTCAACATTATTCTCTGGCACAGCAGAAATACCTGAATTTCGAATTGCAGTCGGCGAAAATGACAAATGTCAACATCTCCACAAAGTTTGCACTTTTTGAAAACAATTAATCACGCTTTTTGTTCAATTGGATATAACGATGACATTTACAATCGTACACTATATGACAGCTGCACCAAGAGTAGGGACCTACCTGAACCTAGGGCAGATCCTTGGTAATGCTCCAACACTTCCAATGATGACCTTTCGTAGCAATGTCCACAGCTACCAGCCACCAAAACACGCATTCCGTTGTCAGATCACTAGGTTATTTTAACACAACACCATTTATCACAGCCACCAATCACTATGAACTGTTGCTAGAATTGCTAAGGGTTAAAGGTATTAATGACTTAAAATGATTACAATATCCTATTTAGGCCGACTGTTTCACAATATTTTGATCTAGTATTTAAAGTTTTCGGACATGTTTAATTTAATAGTTTTCTTATGATTCATTCAATTTTGTAACATTTTGTATGACTGATTATCAAACTTAATTTTGGCTGTTGAGTTTGTTTTAGAAAATATTTTACTGGGTGGTACAGTGCGGCAAACCTGTGATGCACACACGCCCAATGAGCCGAGCTAATAAATACGAATTCCTTCCTGGACGTGCTATTCGCTGTGAAAGGGTGAAGGGTTGTAGAAGGCTGGGAAATCCGCCATTAGACAAATTAGTTTGCCGAACGTACTGATTTATTAACTGCCAGAAATGGAGAAGGAAACTTTGTGGTTTGTTTATATAGGCACAATTTTCAATACAGCGATTGGACAAAACTGAATTAAAAGATACGTAACATTTATCCTCAGAAATATTTCAGCAAAACAAACATTATAAACCCACATGAAATGAAGCTAGTTGGAAGCAGTATTATTTCCCTGCAGAGCAACGAAAGAAGTCAAATAAAACACAGACCTACACTAAAATTCACCAGGATCCACTACTGCCATCACATTCTATGACATTTCATTTTCATAGCAATAAAAACCATTTACTAATCTTCAACAAATTCATTCCGAAAGTCACTCGCGGCAAATCTGACAAAGAACTAGCTGATTGGTGGAGACAAATGCAAATGAACATCAAAAAGCGTAAGTTTCTTGCAGCTGCCGGTAGAATGGGTTAAAGACATAGCATCCACTTCCTGTACAGATTCCGAATTCCAACAAAGTGGGAGGGTGAAGTAGAGTAGTAAATATTGCAGTGACGGCTCTTGAGGTTGTAGAAAAATTAAATCTAGTGTGGACATACAGAAACACATTAATTTGTATATATACGCAATTTCACACTTTTACGGATGGGTTTCTATTTCCGTCGAAGTGTCGCAACCTGTTGATAAAAAGTACAACTTCTTATGTCTCCGCGATTAGAGCTGTCCACCGAATAGAGGTTACTTGGACTTATTTTCACGTCAGACGTGTTTTAATTATTAATTCGAACTGGTATGAGTTTATCGCTCGAATTTTTGTGGGGATACGAATTCTTCCATCTCACTGTGATCTGATATAGCATTAGAATTTTCTTTGAGTATGCATTCTTCCTTCAGAGCTATTGTGTCAGATCTACGAGTATGCCAGACCCCTCGTAACTTATTAGTGTTATAAATTTACCAAATGTGAAATTGCTTTGATAAGATGACAGAGGTCTTGCAATGGTGGTAAGTCATTCGTCTGACCCAGGATATGGGTCAGTTGTGTGCTCCTGTGAACAGATCAATGAACTTGCATGTTCCAGATATGGCAGGAAATATTTTGCCAAGCTGAGCTACTCCCAGTTTTATTATGCTCCATCTGTGATCTGTTACACTGTTGGTACATGGACTTTGATCTAGCAACACCTGTTATTCTGATATGGTGCTGTTTTAAAAATTCTGTTTTGATTTCCGAGATTCGTCAAGCCCTGTTAGGTAGAAAGTATTAAACTGGAAGCCTTCTGTTTATGAATAAAACATGATGAACCATTACCACTGAAACTGGATACATGTCATACTTGAAAACACTTTACAGACCCACACAGTGAAGAGGTTTCAACAAGTGTCGTTCAAGTCAATGGGAAGGCTACAAAAAATTGTTACATGTTTGAATTTATTATTCCAAGTATCATACAGTGGTTAGCACGACCACCCACACTTGCAGTTTGCTGAGCATCAGCCCCGACAGTTTTTTCGTGATTTCCTCGGTGATTCCACACGGGCTCGGGTGGTAGCGTAAAATGGGCCACGACAGTTCTCTTACCAATTCACTGTTGTCTTATTCAGTATAGTTGATAAAATGCCATTATACAAATACCTATTTCATAACTTTATTTTACTAAAAGTAAACCTTTTTAGGAGCACCACACATTGGAACAACACAAAACCAATAACAAGACATTTAGATACAGTGGGTCAATATGTGAAAAGCAGATAAGGGGGTGACCCTCAACCTCTGAAGACTGACAGGCTTGGGGCTGATAACTCCTCAGAATAAAAATACTGAAATGTTGCAAATCACAAAGTGGAAGATGTAGGCGTGAGAGGATGAAAAAACTGAACTGAATAAAACTGATTATGACAAGTCGCAAAGGTGAGCTATTATGAATGGAGACGGTCCTCAGGGTTACATGTAAAAATGGAGACTTCCTTCGCTGCCAGTTGCTCAAGGAGAAATACGTCCTCACCAAAAAATATGCCAAGTTCAATATAATAAGTTTATTTTATAAAATAGATATTTAAATTTTTCATTACATGAAGTCACAAAACGCCAACAACTGAAGAAAGTTATCCACCGCAGTTGATATAAAACACACTGCGTCTGTTTGGAATAAAATGTTTCATTATTATTGCTTATTTATTATAAAAACTTTTAGCGTTTATGAAAATTGTGTCACCTGGACAGTTTCTCATTTACGAGCTTTTAACTTGTGCAAAAAAATTCATTAATTTTAATACATATCTTGATATGCAGATGCCACTCTATTCTGTCCGCTTCATCACACGTGGGCAGCTGTATCGTTCTACTGTATGCTCTTTCACGTTGCAACGACTTCTGGTTGCAGAAGATAATTTTCCTTATTCTACAAAACTGTCATTATATTTAACGATAAAATTACATGGCAAAATGGCAACTACTGCAGTGAACAGCACAGAATGCGTAGCACTCATTTGATGGAAACGTGAACGAAGAGGGTGGCCGGTGACACAAGACTCCCCATGTAATCCACCAGGTAAATATGCCTGTACCCTGAAAATTAACAAATTAAACCATCAATTAGCCTATTAATACACGTGGTTAATGTTTCCGAACTCTTCGGTAACTAAAGCCTCCGTTAAGATTCTGAAACTACAGTCTAAGCATCAATAACATCTGATCGTGGCGGGGAACTGCCGTACCTTGCTGCATGCTGCTGAACGGAAGTGCGTACATGCCAAGTGTCGCATCCTTGCCTGTCGTGCTGGAATCCTTCACAATGAAATGCACCATCGCCAACTCTGGCACCTTCAGGGAGAAATTCATTTCTTCATTCCACCTTGGGTTGAAACCTCAAAAACAGAAAACAACTAAATACGTGAAATATCTTTCAAAAAACTGCATCTGCTTGGTAATAATTGATTAAGAATAAGATTTTTCTGAGTCTCTGCACTAAGCTCACAACTCATCATTCACAGCCTAAACTGTGCAGCTGACATGTTAAACAAACCAAGAAGGAAAAACTATAGATGTCTGCCGATCTTGTCAACCAAATTCAAGGACACGTAAAAGACTAATTTATTTACGGGTGATGATGCAAAAAAGACGCAGTCACAGCTAATTTAAGTGCATTTTTCCTGCAGCAACAGATGAAAACCATTTCACCCTGCGAGGGCATCCGGTCTCCCAGCCGAGGATGCAGCAAGCGAAGGTATTAGAACAGAGGGTTCATTTCTTCAGGAACAGTCTCACTACATACTAAGGCCCTCGTGAGCCGTCTCTCACCATTATTCCTGATGATGTCAGTTTTCAACTTCTGTTCATCTGCTGGGTGACCAATGATCTTCACTGTAACATAAGGGTCAACAACTTCACCCTCCAAGTCCTGGTTCGCTTTTGGAATGTGCTGTCCGCTGATAATAGTCAATTTCAGTTGCGCTGAGGGCCTGCAAAGTGAGAAGTCATAGCAGACCGACTATACAGATGAGTAACGAAGTAAGATTACTGCAAGGAAAAGAAGACTGGAAAACGATAAAACGTGCAAAGTAGCGATTAACAAGCACAGGAATTCAGCAACTTATGTTGCTCCCAGACTAAGTGATACAACCAGAAATTCCCCGCAGTGGGTCTGCACATGTACAGCCCAGTTTTTGGTGTACATTCAAGATCATGAGCCTTACCTGTGCTTTATCACTGCATCTGGATCATAATCACCATTGCCACAAAGAAACTTTGGTTTCAAGACGTAGCCGCATCCGCCGTTCTGTTTAAACTTGGACTCGTTCAGAAATATTGGTCGCCTGGAGCTCTGGTAGTTCAGAGCGACTGCAAGACAGAATGACGTGTGCAATCTAAGAGTCAGATATTTAAGAACTTGTGTTTTCAGGTGATACACGTTACAGTATCAAAACATTAACTTCATTTATTTTCCAACTTAATAATGCACGGTTACTCTGAAATCTCACTGCAATACCAACATGGCCAGTGACTCGTTTCAACACCGATGGGTTCAAACCGGCCTTACCTATCTGACAGCCTACATTCCAGAGGGGGGTGGGTTTGTAGTTGGACGATCCAGTGCGTTTGCCTGAAGGGTAGATTCTGCTGAGTTGCCGAGCATTGTACATCACAAAGTCCTTTGCACTTTTCTCTATGAGATCCTCAGCTTTGGTTTCTGAGAATGATGACATCTGATGGCATTTGCCTGAAACAACGACGTGAAAAGCAACAAGTCACTACTTCTTTTTCTGGCAAATATATTTAGAAATTCAATGCTGCAAAAACCAATATTGAACTACTTCAACAGTTCACATGAGTGCTTTTATGTGATTAATAACATAAGGTGATACTTCCATCTACTCCTATATCTTCCCATGTTTCATTTTTCTTTAGCAGGATGTCATTTTGTGATCCTGTCTCATTGTGCTGTGCTTCACTGAGTAAGAAGGAATAGATTGCATGGAGATATACAACTACACCCTCCATACACAGAAGTAATTCGATCTTTACTGCAGAATAATGGACACTGACCACTAACTTTGGCCTCCTCAAAGCTGTGAAAGTGAACGGCTTGGCAGATGTTGACCAAACTGGACAATCCCTCTGCCACCACCTTTGTCTTCTGAAAGAGAAACACAATATTTCAGCATTTCTCAAAATTTCACACCAAAATAACACATCGTGACATGTCACCATGTGTCCAAGACTTCAATATATGCGATAAAATGTTCAGTTGCTATTCTTCACAAAGCAATCATGCCAACACTACTCTTACATGGTTGTGAAATGTGGCATCTTACTTTGAAGGAATTACAAGTGTCTGAAAACAGAGCACTAAAGAAAATCTGTACCTGAGACAGATGAAGCAGGTAAAAGCATTGAATAAAGGATGCTGCATCATGAGGAACTGTTGATATGAACAATCAGCTCAAACTGAGATACATAAATAAATAAATAAATTTTTGCATAACTTCTCTTGGAAACTGATGAGTTGGACACGTAAGGAGACGGAAGAAAGATAATAATATTAAGTGGAGCTTCACAAAACATTTTTCAGGATGTGAAAAGGATTAAACAGATTTAAAAGTAGTTTCACCAAATAAACAAAGATAGCAGCACTTGATTTATGTCTTCAAACCCACAAAATGTTGGCTATCTTGAATTGAGTTTCTTGTCATCTTTCTTAGTTAATTCACGCGGATTTTGGCAAAGTTCTCCACCTTCTGTTTCGTTACAAAATCTCTGTACCGAAAAATTCTCCAATTTGATGCTTAAACAAACAGAGAAAAAATCTGCTTATTAACAATCAAACAATCCACCTGCTGGTTGTATGACTTCATGTTGAGTGCCACTTTTATTGCTTCCTGTTCTTCCTCTGATTCACTCTCACTGTCTTTCTCAGCTGGGGCTTCCTTCTTCGCTTTCACAATAATCTTCTTCTTGAGAGCTTCGGGAGACGGTAAGAACAACATGTCCTCCGAAACAGGCTCCGTGTACAGCATGTCTGTAAATTAAACAAAATCTCAGGACAGGTTCACAGAGCATGAGCACACGACCAAACTGTTAAATCAAATCTCAAATCCGAGACCTTATGCACACAAGACTCTGTTCAGCAGCTGCGTCAAATCTCAAATCCGAGACCTTATGCACACAAGACTAACTCTGTTCAGCAGCTGCATGACCAAGGCACTGCTTATCCCTCCCCAGACTGCATCGGTCTTTATCAGTTACTTGTGGGTGGAACTTACTTTTGAAACAAACATCATAATTGTGGGGGGAGAGCAGACAATTAAAACTTCTGTCAGAATAAACACAAGACTTGAGTTTCAGAAAACAGTGAAGATGTCAACTGCAGTATTTTGGATTTTGATGTCAAGTGCTGTTGTAGACAGTTCCTTCAATCTGAAGACGAAGCCAACGTGTTCCTCTGAAACGCTGGTAGCCACTTACAAGATCATATGGCACCACAACCCAGAAGACCATGGTCACCTTTAGTCAGTCCTGTCCAAGATTCAAACTGTGTATCTCTACATTCAAGACAAGTATTTGACCAGACATGTTCCAAAAAGAAATGCTCACCTCCCAGGACATCGCAAAAGTGTTTAGCCAGTACTTCCTGCTGCCTCTCACTACAGTGATTTTCAAGTGACAGAATCACTGGGTATTCAGACGCGTAAAATGCGTACGGTTTGATGGCATCCACGAGAACATCTCGAAATAAAATTTTAGTTGTCAGGGTGTAGCCATGGTAGACGATGGGGTCGCCATCTGGTCCATCCCAACAGTCCACTGAAACAAATCAAAACTCGCAGATTACAACATGACAACTTCTGGTCTTTCCGCATTCTTATAGTGTAAAGAATGTTGGAGATTATGTAATGACAAGTCCGTTTCTCTCAAATGAAAGATGAGTTTCCAACATCAGTGTTTTTGCATGATTTGTTAAATTAAATGCCTTAATACACTATTGCCCTCCTCCACATATACTGTACACAAAATAAGTGTAACACTTGCAGAGTTTAAATAAAAGTGATATGTCTTGTGTTCTCCGCAAAAGGATAACCTGGCTTAACAATAAGGATGACGACAAACACGCATACTCACATTCCACGCAGCGACAGCCCCTCTTCAGCGCATCTATGTATCCCTCGACACTGCTCTCCCCACGCAGCTGGTTTCCTGTCAGATACCTGCAACACAAGCACTGTCATCACACCAGGAGACAGGAAGGCCAGAATAGACAAATAACTCAAATGCGAGATACAAGGAGTGCACACAGACAAACTTGCTGGGAAGTGGCCATGTAAATGCTATTTCTTCCCAAGGTACATAGTTTCAAACAAGGTGCCAATTACTGAAATCAGAACCACCAATTATGAATCAGGAATCTAACTATTACTCACGTGTTGTGCGATGAAGCAATGTAGTAATGGGGCAGAGGATTTGTCATGTCCTGGTATACAACAGTGTGGGAAAGATTGAAAATTTCAAACTGCTTTGACATGAGGATGCTAGTAAATCCTGCAACAACAAATCACATTATCTCCATGGCAATTCTTCACCCAACTTTATTCTCTAATGTGAAATATGTCAGGCCTGGCACCTTAAATCACAAACATCTATTTCCCCTCTTGTAGAGACATCTGTTACAGAACTAACCCTCTAACCTCAATGAACTATATGTACCAAATGTTTTATTAATAATCAATAACTCTGCATGTTTCCATGAATATTTCCTTAAACACTGTTTTCAAACTGATCATTGTAACGGATATGAGTCGGTAGGAATTGACTATTTTCCACGAGGTCCAACAACCATACTGAGTATGAAATGGTGTTTCATACCATACAAATTATAAATGACCTAACTGAGACACAATTCACTTTATTCTAAATTTATTCCTAACCCTTTCATGTTACATCAGCATCCTGAATAACAGAGACATACGAGAGACATGTCCGAGCCCAAAGTGCCAAACACTGCCTCCGCTCTCATCAAATACTTCAACATCACTTTCTGGCTGTCACTCACCAATAAAGGAAACCTTGCCGACGACTTTCAACTTAGAATCTTCAAAAGTCTCTATGAGCGTGTTGCACTGCTCCACAGTGAAGTCTTTGCAGTGCTGCTCCGTCTGAATAAAGTGGCACAACTCCTGAGCATTCATCTCCTTGTCATTCTTAGAATATCTGAAGCATCAGAGCAGACATACGACAGTGATAACGTCACGTCATCGCACGCCTCTCACATTACAGTGAAAAATATTTTAGGTCTTTCAGAGACTTTTCTGAGGAGCAAGACACGATAAAAGAAGGAAAACAACTTAGAAAATAAAAGTATGAAAAGAATAAAAATGTAAACAAAAATGAGGAAAAGGCACAAAGAAGAACAAGACAAGGAGAATGAAGATGGAGAAATAAAAGTTGTTAATGTTCCTTGTGTCCTTCAAACGGCACATGGCATGATCTTACACCCAGAGACCAAGACTACAAAAAGAGGCACAATTATAAGAACAAGTGTTAGGTCTTTCAATACGTGTTTTGTGTACCTTGTGAACAGTTCCTTTATTTCTGACCTTGACATCAGATTCATGTAAAATATCACAAATTCTTCGGCATCCAACACCTGCTCATCGTTTCTCGAGTTTGTGTTTATGTTTGCAATCTGCAAGTAAGAGAACACAGACGGCCTGAAATGCTACCTGCATATGAAACCTCCTCATCTAGCAACACTTCCTGATTCCGCACTGTACCGAGTCTGACTCCTCAGACATCATATTTCAGGTCAATGTTGGACTGCGTCCAAACAAGACACTTTGGGAAAGCCTTATGAAGCCTACTTTTCCCTAAATGCTTCAAATCTCTTCCACCTCAGAACTCGGAAATACCACAACATTGGTACTGTTTGTGGTAGAAAATTTCGAAGAAGAAAAAAACAAGACATACGAGCCACTATACGAATCTCTTGAAAGTTATTAGTCGAGGAATAGACAAACAAAGACAGGATGGAACCATAAGCTTCTCTCTCCTTATACTAACAAAATACATTCAAATTTAATGGAACTGTGTGCCATCATTCAAATAAATGAAACCCCAAAAATGTCGCCTTGTCATCAACAAATTACACAGTTCAATATCTGTTATATTAAGCTGATTTATTCTTGACAAATAAGTACCAACTTAACTTTCCCAAAATAGTCGTCACTTAAATCACATCGATTGTAATCAGCCTGAATAAGGAGTTATGACTGCCTTGACTCCCTGCACTGCCAATAAATTAACGTTACTCAGTCACCGGAAGCAACTGGTCACGCAGCTTTACACTAGCGTCCCTGTCCTTGACCTACATGAAACAGCCTCTTCACTGTATCTCTTGGCAGCTTCGCATTCAGCTGTTTCAGCAGTATCAAGCATTCATCAAAGTTCAGGCTGCCATTTCCATCTAAATCAGCTTCTTGGAATCGCTGTTTCAGCCACCTGCAATCACAAACAGCTGATACACCTCGTAACAAAGTAGCAACCAATGTAGTGTCTATTTTACATATTTTAAACGTATCAAAAAATTCACTGCTCTTGTGAAACCTAAAACGTAAACTCTGTTACCAAAGAAACAAGACACTGGAATCTATCGAGGGCCATTTCAATTCTCACACCCCAGATCTCATAAGTGGTTTCTTTCCTACAAGTTTCCCATCTAAAATTCTGTATGCATTGAACATAAATCAGTTAAATATGAGATTACCATTACCTGGTCCTGACACACATCATTGTGAGTAATTATTGAAGTACGTGTCAAGTGACTATACGTAGCAGCACACCACAGCGCACTCTGTTCAGATTACTTCCATATAAGTTAAACAGGCTTACGTATCACTTTGGTTAACATCAAAATCCAAAGTCTAAATAATGACCTTTCAAACCGTTCCTCCTGCTGCAGGCCATCCAACACGGTAATAAGGTGCCCCAGGCCCTGGACCCACAGGTCTGCCACCTCCGCATTTGGGGCCACTAGGTCAAGACTCTGCTTGCTTCGTCCATGTATCACAGAGAAGCAGGCCGCCTCATCTATCACATGCTTTCGATCTGGTGACTTCATGTTCTTTTTCCTTACCGTCCGTTCAATTTTATTGAACGTATCCGTCTTCCATCCCTTCCGCACTTCCACAATATCATCAATAACAACTGTGAAAGAAGTACAAAGTGAGGCTTTTGCAGCGACCAACAAAGGAACAGATTTGTTACCCAGCAGCCCTGAGGATGAGAGTAGAGATTTTTCTCAAAACATTGGCAGAATATATGGTTTATTCACCGTTCAGCCACCTGACACGGCTTGTAACTTGAGAATCTTTCTTCAACTGTGAAAGAAGTTGATGAACAAACACAAATGAATATAAGCAAAGATGCTGGATATGGGAACAAGCACGAAAGCTCTCCAAACATTTTATCTACCTACACATAAGACAGAATAACTAAATATGAACAATTTCTTAATAAAATACATATATGAACTAATGTATTTCAAACTTCTAAAGATATTTTGCAGTTGCCAAAAACATTCCATGCATAATTTTCCAACAAATACAAGTTTTCAACTTATGTTCCCTACTTAATTACATCTAAGAAGTCAACACGTACAAAAGCCCAACACCAGACATCAAGAAGGTGAGGTTACTATCAGAGTAGGGAATGTTCACATCACCCATCAGACAACTGAGGAAAACATGCACAAAACAAAACTGGAGTATGCGAATGGTAAAGATGAAGGAGAGATAAAAGAGTTTCAAGGAAGAATGCTGAAATGATTGACAGTTATGAAGTATGAGAACAGCAGTGAATGGAAATAGAGGAAAGACTATGACATTGCTCCGACTAGCACTGATAAGTTATTTATTTAATAACGGTGTCAACAACCCAGAGTACGCAGAATCAAGTGATGATAATGATTTCAAGACGGTTTGAAATGAGTGGTAATGGCCTAGTTTTAGGTACAATCCCAGAATCTGTCTGGAGGGAGTGAGGAAAATCAGGACAAATGTAAGGTGAGTCTGAAGATTGCTGTCTTCAGGGTTGTTGCGCCGTGTAATCTGTTAGATGTGAACCAACGTTTCAGAGGTCATTCTGCCTCCATAATCTGGGTGATGAATGAGCCAAACGAGTGGAAAGGGCTAGGTTTATAGGGAACCCTCCGGTCCTAGCCCTTTCCGCTCGAGAGGTTTACAGCTGCAAGCTCAATATTCAGGTCCATTGCCACTGTGAACTGTCCCCTTACTTTCACTATTAATTCTGTAGCAAGGCGCCTTGTGGGATGGCTCATAACGCAGAGTTCCATTCCTGTGGTCCAAGATATATTTCCGGCGGTACCAGTTTGACAGTGAGCGAACTTTCCACAGCACCGTCCCCTTCTTGAGTGATTCCAAAACATCTTCTATGGTTTTACTGCGAGAGTCAATAGCCTCTGGAAATCAGACAGGGTAATAAAAGCATCAGGAAACTATAGCAGACAACTGGCATTCACTGCTTACTGCTGATGGATATGCGTATGTGTCAGGTGAAAGTAAAATTAAAGCCATATAGGTTATAGGAACATATATGAACACCAATTGATTGGTACTGGTATTAGAAGTTGCACTGAATACATGTTATGATTCACATATGTAAATATATAAAATACTATACTAATCTAATTTGTCGAAAGTTACACTTGGTTAACTTAGCATGTCAAGTAAGGTTTCAGTGTCAAACGTAAAGGTTAAAAGACGTCAATTTGATCACGATATATTTCGTTCGTAACATGGAAAGGACTAGTCAGAACCTTGGCTGTGTAATAAAGATCAATGTGGTGTACGGACTTCACTTTGTGAGATCTGAGGATAATTACGTTCTTGGTTTTGACGCCGTGACGAGCAGCGTAGGTTGGTAACATTAGCTTAACAAGTCGGACGTGAGGGCACTGCATTAACCGTGGTGATATCGACCCAATGAATGCCAATTAGATATCTCGTTTAGAAACTAGACCCCCTTCTGCTGTGTACGTCTTTCATACGTATTTACGAGTCAGTATGTGAAACTTATATTAACATTATTTTCCGCACTGTTGCCGTCACAAAACTATGATGTAAGGAAATATTGCACAGTTGCCTCCTGTGCTTTTACCAAGAGAAACCTGAATTAAAACGCAGAGCCTCAGTAGAAAAAGTTCCGATTCGTTTCGAAAGCTGTTTTAAATCGTGAGATAGAATACCGACGCAATCGCCTATGATTTGCGCATGAGCATCACTAACCTAACGTCTTCACGCTTCATCTTTCCGTTAGTGATGACCCACGCGTTAGTATAGAAAATGAACTCAGATATATTTAGGTCAATGAGGTGAAGAATAAGAATACTGCATGACGTCTCACATGCCACTGTCAAGGTTGTCCAGTCGGGGAGATTGTGACGAAAATGAGATGCTTTCCGTGGGTTCGGTCAGTGGGAAAGTGGCCACCGAGTATGGCAATCGTAGTGATATTAGCTGTGATGGTCGGCAGATTGGGATGGCGAGCTTCGGTATCAGTCGACTTGACCTTCTAGTTACTGCTATGTATAGCAGGTTCTAACGTGTCTGGCACGGTTTGAAATCCTCACTCGAACATCTGTCCACCCGGTATGTTTTCGTAGTTTTGTAGTCTTTCCGGCATCTTAAAATAGGCCACGACGCCTTGTACATACTTCCCTATTCATCGCGTCAGTTCATAAAGCGTATTTAAATAAACAACTTGTCTCCCGAACGAAGGCATCATCTTTGGAATAATTTTGGACTCTGCAATGTTGTCCCACCTTGCAACTTAGCACGGTCGTCATATTGGTATTGGTAATGATACGAAACTGAGAGCATTTAAATGGTTGGGTGCTCCTGTATCGTTTCACGGAATTCCAACGCTGTTTACTTATGATACTGATTTCAGTGACTGTCACTGAACAAATTGGCGAGTAAAAGAAGACGCACCCAATGCGCGATAAGAGCCGTGGAGCAGCGGTGTATCGATTTGATAATGGTGTTATCATTTCCTTCAGCAGCATGATGGGTTCCCGAATACTTGCGTTATAGAAAAATCGCGCAATGAAATCAGGCGTTAGACCCACAAGAAAAAAAAATTGTAGACGCCGGCAGCCTTCAAAATTAACCTTCTGTGAAACTTTCACTCGGTCTTTGAGAAATTACAAAATTTAAAGAACGGCTAAAGACAGGGGTACCAAACCTCTTAAGACCTGAAACCACATTCGCCCTTTTCGTTTTCGATTGGCGGGCCACCAGATAATTTATTGAAACTTTATTTCAATAATGAACATGACCGTCTTATTGAATGTTGTGCCTTGAAGCCAGTTGAAACAGCAACAGATTAAAGGCACAGGTTTGGAGAGCCCATCCGCCGCTTGTCCTGGCTTATAGAACAAAGCAACGAACTAATACGACATTCAGACCAAGAAATGAGACTCCAGGAAATTACGAAAGGAATGATTAACTCTGTAAATTGTAACCTTCGTATTTTCAAACTACTTGGCGAGTGAGCGACCGTTACGAGCGGCTCACAACTGTCGCGGCCACGCCTTCCCGAGAACATTTATTCCAGGTTTTGAGTTCTGGACTCGGTTCAAGACGTGCAGTAGTCCACAGTGTGAATCACGAGAACGTTCTGTCTGTCTTTTTGTTTCCTCACAGCTATGCTGCTAATTAAATCACAAAACATCAGATGTTGGGAAACAAGAGAATTACGCTGATGTAACAGTTGACAGCAGGCAAGCGTAGGAATAGTTGAAGGCCGCAAGCGTCACTTGAGTTTCCATGGATAGTTTCACAAAGTGTGAAAACAAAAATACGACGTTCACAGGAAAACCAAGTTTTGGGCTAGGGGGAAATACACATGCGTAGCAAATTAGAACGTGCCACAGTGCGGCGGGGTCGAAATTCGTTAAACGAACGTGTCACGGTGTATGGGGGTTTCTACCAAACTACACGGCGCAACAACCCAGAAGACAGCCAACTTCTGTTTCAATATTATTTTTGCCAAAATGGAACCCAAAGTTTCAAAACATGTTACGTGAGCCAAATCGCATTATCACGGACCATCTCCAAATACGAGCCGAGTTAACTGGTTCTCGTTTCCACGGTAACTCGCTATTTCTATTGCCGTAAACACTCAACAACCCAAACATGCAGACAACATTTAATTTCATTGTCACTATCGAAGAAAAAAAACATATTCGAAGCCGAAAACAATTATCTTTTTACCGGATCTCGCGCTGCATAAAAATGGTATAACTGGCCTTGGCCGAAGGCAGATTGACTATCCCACCTTTGATTAAACAAGTTTCGTTACAAATGATGATGATGATGTCATGCGCTTAGTAGCATACCTCGGAATTCTGGAGTTTCCTCGAGTTGCGGGTAAATTTTAGCGGCTACTGGTTCCTCGACAATCGCTTCCATTACTGCACAAATACTTCACATGGCCCACAACACAGGAGACGACGGGATAATGAAGTTCACTAGCACAGCTTGCAGCACGGTCCACCAAGAGCAAAGACCGCCAGTACCACAGAGCATAGTAGCTCTGTGGGTGTGCATTTTTCCCTCAAGATGGCACAATACGCCTACCGATATCTTCCCGATAATCGCTTCAAAAGCACTTATCGATAATGTCGACTTGGCGTTGTAATTTGTAACTCGAAAATACAATCAATCGAATATGATTTCCTCTAACGAAACTCTCCCTACTGCTATGTTCTGTTCCGCATTTATTGTAAATCTTGAGTTTTAATGGACGTAGAACTTCACTGCTATTGCCTTCATTGCATATTGTACGATAATATTCCAGAAACGTTCTGAAGGAACAGTGAAAAATCATGTGCAAAAATGTAATAAATGTTCCATTCCGATTCACCATAAATTAACAAATTCTGATATTCAAAAATTCTGTTAATATCAGGCCACAGTTTTGGCCAAAACATTTAAACTAATATTTTTTATGATAAAATCATTTAAATGAAAATTTCTATCTCTTGCTCTGCAGAAAAATTAAACATAGCAGTTTCAAAACTGGGAAGTCCTTTCAAATACTTGCATGACTGGAATCACCACATGAAATGTCAAAAGCACTTTCCTCATCACTTTCTACTGTTAAGTTCTATGGTAATCCAAGATTAGTTTTTCAGACCTACATAGCAGTTACGATTTCTGTGCACCCACCTACGTCAACTTACAATTTCTGAGCTAGCAGCCTACTTCTTTCAATGTGCATACAGCATTTACAGTATAAATGCTCATACCCCAGCAACTTTTTGATATTCAACCACTATCTGCAATTCCTATGTCAGTATCTAACCACTGTTTATAGTATCTTGCCTGATTTTCAGCTGAGGCTGCTATTTTAGATTTGGCATTTAATAAAATATTTACATTAACAGTCTGTTGCAAAGCGATTGCCAACCCACAACTGAGTGCCACAGCGAGCACTTGAGTGTTTATGCTGCCTGGGCCCCTACTGGGGCACTATGTGGGTATACATTACTATGGTCTTGGCCCTAGAGCCAGACCTGCAATCAGAAGAATCTTTTCTGGGCTCTTCATATAGACACACAAGCTTGAAGTCGTATGAAAACCACGGGACAGTACTACAGAGACAGAAAAGGTTCCTGCTGGTGAGACACGAATCTTAAAAAATGGCTGTCTTCTGGGTTGTAGCGCCACGTAGTCTGGTAGAAGTTTACCAACGTTTCAGAGGTCCATCCTGCCTCTGTCATCAGGGCAATAACTCACCTTCTACCAGACTACATGGCACAACAACCCAGAAGACAGCCATCTTTGGACTCACCGCCACAAAAACCCCAAATCCTACAAGAGTCTGATAAATAAAATGGACCTTAATGCTAAGAAATGTTTAAACCCAGAAGGGAAAGGAATGTAATGACGACCACCAACAGACATGGCAAATCCAAATATGATTACAATATTGTGATCACGGAAATTACGTGCTACGTTCAACATGTAAAGAGAGACAGTAAAGACGGAAGAAAGGGAAACCTGAGGGCCCTATAAGCACCCCCACCACGACATGGTCTGACCCACCTCAGATGGCAGAGGCACTAGGTCCTGGAGGGAACAAAAGAATGTCATAAAGGATTGATATTCTGGGCATCTCTGAAACCTGGTGATGTACAAGTTCTC